AGAGCATCATCCAACTTCGCAACCCAGTCTTCCTTCAAGGCAGCTACACCATCCATCTTCATCCTGATAGAGTCATCTAATAGCATACTAATCAGAACTCGGTGGAGGGTTTGATGGGTACGTTCATAAGCTCCACCCAAGAAGGGACTATATCTCGGCGTGAGCTTATGATCAATAGAGAACTCCTGACACATGGTCTCAAATTTACGACTAGTAAATTGGGCACCATTGTCGCTTAATATAATATAGGGAGTGCCCAGCCACTTAAACGTAGCCACCAATGCCTTCAACACACTATCAGCTGTAATCTGCTTCAAAGGAACCGCCACTACATACCGTGAGTAGAGGCATGTCATTGTAAGCAAATATCTATACCCTTCTTCACTTTCAATGTACGGACCAGTTATATCAATTCCCACTAAATGCCATGGCTGCAAGACACTGTGAATCCACCCAGGATCCTGAGGATGGCATTTGCGGCCACGTACCAACTGGCATACTTGACAGGACCTCACATAGTCTCGTACATTCTTACGTATATCTTTCCACCAAACCACCTTCAACATGGCTTGCAGTGTACCAGATATACCAACATGGGCTCTATCTTGATGATATTTCTTAATCAATAAAGGCACCAACTTATCATCATTAGGTATAGCCACTTGTCGCCTAACCCTTCCCGAGTTATCTTGGCGAATCTTGCGATGCAGAATCTTAGTAACCTCATCTACCTCGTAAGATAGTTTCCACCTACGCTGGGTGTTCGCACTTACCTTGTGCTTACCCTCAGCGTCGGTGGTACCCAAGATGACTGACTTAATTAATGAAAGCTCCTTCGAAGAAGACTGCTTCCATAATAAAAGACTCAACCAAGCTTCTTCCCATGAGGGTTCTTGGTACGCCTTCTTCAGAGCCTTCGCTTGCCATCTTCTAAGTCGGCGTAGTAAATCCTGATGCTTCCTAATACTGAGGTCCAAAGAGCCATCAGCACTCTCAAGCGTCAGCTTAGCCACCCGGTTTACGGGATCCGCAGTCTCATCAGCGGCCTCTTCCTTAGCATCACTGATGATACCTTCGTCAACCAGTTCAAAGTCAAAGTC